TCCTTTTTTCTTTTTCTAATTATTTTCTACAGCTTTTTCCAACTGTTGAGATTCCGCTGTTTTATTAGCTGTAGAGACCGTAGGCCGAGGAGATTTTGGATGGCGATGGTTCAGTATTTTCACACATTGATGCATTTGTCCAAAAAGGGGGCAGCTCTGGTGGATACCATGTTCAAATAAAATAAATTAAATTGGGCGCCTGGGTGGCTCAGTTGGTTAAGCGACTGCCTTTGGCTCAGGTCATGATCCTGGAGTCCCGGGATCGAGTCCCGCATCGGGCTCCCTGCTCAGCGGGAAGTCTGCTTCTCCCTCTGACCCTCCCCCGTCTCATGCTCTCTATCTCTCTCATTCTCTCTCTCTCTTTCAAATAAATAAATAAATAAATCTTTTAAAAAAAAGAAAAAATAAATTAACCACATCGTTGGGCTCAAAACCAAGATCCAGTGATGTAGTTAATTTATTTTTTTTAAAGATTTATTTATTTGAAAGAAAAAAAAAAAATCCAAGATCCATATCTCTGTGGACCAAACACAGAACAGAAATGCCGAATGCAAGACTGCAGCCATGACCTTGCTGGGATCTGGGGCTGGAAGTGGGCTATAGGCATGTGGAGGGTGGGAATATGATCGCAGAGATCAGATATTCCACATGGAGAGGGGACGATATAGCCAGGCTTACTTGAGATTTGGTGTCAGGGTGGCGCCCCTTCTGTCTTGAAAAAATTCTATGACCCTCTGCTGCCTGGGGCTCTGGCCTATAAACTGGTATCCACCAGAGACATATGGACATAGTCCCAAGATCACAAATTGACTTAAATCATCTATAGGCTTGAGAATAATCTACAACATCCCATTACACTATGGGATGAGGCTTGGATGTGGGGTAGGAGAAAATAACTGCAAAACTTCTAGACAGGTAAAAGCCAAGGTGAGGACTAAGGTAAGAAGAGAGAGTGAGAGAAATGAAAGTGAAAACAAAACACCTCTCAGTTAAAGTAAGTTGTCAAAATTTCAAAAACTCTTTGTAGTAGGAAGACTCTAACATGGCTCCCAATGATCCCTGCCTCCTGGTGTTCACACCCTTGTGAAATCACCTTCTCTTGAGTATGCGCTAGCTCTAGTGACTAACGAAGAGAATACCACAAAAGTGACAGGATGCCACATTCTTGATTAGGTTACAAAAATCTGTGACTTCCTTCTTTGAGCCAGTTCTTGATTTCTTGGCTTGTACACTTTGATGAAGCAAGCTGACATGATAGGAGAGGCCCAAGCTGACATGTTAGGAGAGGCCCACATGGCCGGGAACCTCAGTTCAACAGTCTCCAATCAACAGCTAGCAAGGATTTGAAGCCTTCTGCTCAGTGGCCATGAGGAAATGAATCCTGCCAACAATTACATGAACTTGGAAATGCATCATGCTCCAGTCAATGCCCTGCCTCCTTGAGATGACCCCAGTCCAGTCAACATTTTGACCACCTATGGAAGACCCTGAAGTAGAGGGATCAGTTAAGGTGTGCCCGGATTTCTGACTCAGAAACTGTGAGATAATAAATGTGTGGTATTTTAAGCCACAAGTGTTGGGGTAATTTGTTACACAATGCTAAATAACTAACACACATTTGAAAACATCTAATGTTAAGAAAGGGCAACAAAATAAACTTGGAACATGAATTCATTTCAGATGAAATTGACTTTATAGAGCTAACAGTGTCCTTTAAATAATATTTTTTTGGATCTTTAAAACAGTGAATAAGAGAATGACTTCCATTAAAAAAAAGAAGAGGATTTATAGTGAAAATATAGGTAAAAACAAAATAAGAATAAGTTAATATAAAAATCCCGGGAATAAAAAAAAAAATATGTGAGTTGAAATAAAAACTCAAGCAACAAAATAAGACACCACTGAAGAGAGAATTTGTGAATTGCAAGATGGATATCAGGTGTTTACTTAGAACACAACAGAGAGAAACGGAGTCCCAGAATAGAAACTGAAGTAGTCTGTCTTGACATGATATCTAATCTGGGAAAAAGGTTTTGAAGACTTTCCCAAAAGGGCTGCCTCCTATGCCCAAGGATTTCTTTCTACTACTGTCAAACTGATCCACCTTGGACTTAAATTCCAGATACCCTTGGATGGATTAAATTTCAGGCAATTTTTACTCTACTAAAAACACTAGACTCCAAATTATCATGAAGCAATGGTAGCATTTTCCATTCTGACTGTTACTGAATACTGAGTTGCTTAAAATTAAGCTCATACAGATCAAGTAAGAATTCAATAAACGGTTCATCTATTTCTTTTCTATGGATACCAACTAGCCAACACCACAAGTCTCTGTGAGTTAGACTATTCTGACCACTGCTTTGGCTCCATTGTCCATTATGGTAACCATACCCATTTTGTCTTTAACAACTAAGTGCCTCCATGTGACCCCTTCCACCCTAGGATCCCATGATCTCCATTGTATTTAAGTATTCCAGTTCATTGGTAACAGTTCCCACTTATAGAAATTTCTGACCTATAGAGCAAAGCAACCACAGAGTTCTTCTAGTATGCTGGGCTGCTCTCACAAATGTATTCTCACAGTTACGGTAAAAGGTGTGTCTTCTGGATCCTCCCAAGCTGGGTGAACAAATCCACATGACAAATCCACTTTAAAATCATAATTTCCCTAAGTTTTTGAGTATCTTCCTCTAGAACATACCAAGGCAGTTCTGGCATTTCAACTTAATTTAGTGTAGACTTCATGTTTCAGTTAACCAACCAAACTGGCAGCCCATATCAACGAATTCTGCTTGATCCAACTTTATGTTCCTTCTACCATGATCCCACATCCCATACATATTATCTAGATTTCTGTCTATAAAAACTGGGAGAATCATGTAGCTCTTTTGGAGTGTAATGCCTCTCCACACATTTTGTACTTCCCTTTTTGGGGCCTGCTGAAACTTGAGTCTAGTTATAGGTTTAGAAGCAAAGGGGGTGGTGGGTGTGGGCCTGAGGAGACTCAGCAATCTCTTGTTACCGCGGCCAATGCCATTACAGGACTTCTTCGTTAGGCAGGGGTGGAAGGGCAGCTTCTAATGGCAAAGACTTGGCAGATCTCGGGCTTAGATATCCCCAGCTTTATTGAGATCTGACCATGTGTCTCCATTCCAGTTTTCAGGATTCCACTCATTCCCAGTGAATCAGAAGACACCCTGCAAGGTTAGGAATTCAGTTTGCATTGTAAAACAGCCAATCGCAGAATGAGACTCGGGTTTGGTTATCAGAAATCTCAGCTCTGTAGCTGCAGGAGACAAGGTTTATTTCAGGGAAGATATTAGAGCTTTCAGGTCATTAACTCAGCCCTTGGACCTGGGAATTTGAAGCCCTAAGCTCATCCTTTTTTCTCCCTTATTTTCTCCAGTGCTGTCAGGAGCAACCATCCAATTCCATTGTTCTCTTTAGTTTAACTAAAATAGTCTAAATTGACAAATAGACAGCAATCCAGAACCTCACCTTCTGTAGGTATTTGTACTGTGCTGAATGTTGTCCCCCGTCCCCACATTTACGTTCATCTGGAACCTATAAATGTGACTTTATTAGGGTCGACCCTAAATCCGACATGACTGGCCTCCTTATACTAAGAGGAGACTTTGGACATAGAGACAAAGACACATAGGGAGAACATCATGTGATAACAGAGGAACAGATTGGAGTGATGTGTCTACAAGCCATGGGATGTTGAGAATTTCCAGCAACTCCTCAAAGCTAGGAAGAGGCAAGGAAGGATCCTTCCCTAGACCAAATTTTCAGAGAGAAAGTATGGCCCCATCAACACCTTGATTTGAGACTTCTAGCCTCCAGAATTGTGAGGAAAGAAGTTTCTGTTGTTTAAAGTGACTCAATTTGTGGTCATTTGTTATAAGAACATTAGGAAACTAATATAGTATTTGATTAGGAGTGTCCGATGGTGACACTTGTGTGTCTAAAACCACATCATGCCATGACTACTAGTGTCTTCCTTATGACTAGAAACAGATTCATAGTGGCTTTAAATATAACTAGCTCAGGTAACCAGTTCCAGAAAACCCAGAAACTATTCAGAAAACTTGTTCTTATAAATCTGTCCTCTACAACTACTCCTGGTACCAAAATCTATATCAATCAGAATTCAGCCTGAGAAACAGAACCGGTGGAGATATACGTTAAAAAAAATTATTTCAAGGAGTTGGCTTACTTGATTGTGGGGGCTGGGGAGGCCAAGTCCAAAATTTATGGGGCAGGCCATCAAGATGGGTAAGCTAGAACTCTCAGGCATGTCCTCAGATGGAACTTCTCCTTCCTCTGGGAAGGCTCAGTTTGGCTCTTAAGGCCTTTTGACTGATTGAATTGGGCCCATTCAGATTATCTACAGTAATCTCCCTTACTTAAGTCGACTGATTGTGAACTTTGATCACATCTGCAAAATACATCATAGAAACACCTCGATTAGTACTTGTTTAAATAAATAAGGAACTTGGCCTAGTCAAGTTGACACATAAGACTGACTGTCACAAATTGCAACAAACTTATCCATTCATTTGAAAAGAATTGAAATCATTACAATATTCAGTCTTTTCATGTAGGGTCATGGTAAAGTTTAATAGAAAATTTTTCTTAATTTTTTGGCCTCATTTTATAGGAATTAAATGATTCCCCCCTTCTAACTTTTTTGTTAGTATACAGTATGAGCATAATAATAATGGTTATCACACGTTGATCATTTACTATGCATCAGGCCTGCACTAGAAACTTCTTTACTACTCAAACCAAATCACACGTTTATGAGGTTGGGCACAGAAAGCCAGTATATATCATTCACACTGTATATTTCATGTTTCTGTTCCTGGATGGTCCCATTTGTCTGATTTCCATGTTCTTTTGGGGCAGACTTGAAAATATTAAAACAGTATTTAGGGTCCCAGTTGCTCACCGAGGCCATAAAGATAGCTGGTTTCAACTTAGTCGACTCCAGTTTTTGGTTGTACCCAGTTCACCAGCCCATAGCAGAGGTTTTGATGTGGTGTTGATGAGGTTGATGATAATCCTGTCTTTTATGGTATCTCAATCTAGGACAAAAATTTTAAATGCCATGTAGTGTAGTGCTATACATTTTCAGAGTCGTCTGTCCTTTGAGTCCATGGTAGGAGAGACCAGGCTAAAACTGTGTTACTGTGTTCATATCGGACATTGAATTCTCCGGTTCACTTGGATTCTGACCAGTAGTAGACCTACATTTTTCCTTTCCGCATTTGGCTGAATAGATTATGTAAATGCTTCTCATTAGGAAAATTCCAGCAATAACAGAAAAATAACTCCCATAAATTAGAAACTAAAAAAGAAAAAGAAAATTAATGCATGACATTAAAATGGGTGTTCAACACTGAAGTTATAGAGTGATGCTTTACTATCAGCTGGGAGATCTTAAACAGGTCACGGATTCTCTCTGCCTCAATTTCCTCAATTGTAAAATTAGAATAACAATATTTATACATTTGTTGTGTGGACTAAATGAGTTATTACATATAAGATATATAGAACAGTACCTACATAGTAGAATTCAATCAATGTTAACTGTTGTTCTGAAACTCTCCATCTATATAGAGTATATATAGTTTTCCTTCTTGCTTTCCTTTCTTTTTTTTCATATTCACCTTTAGTATATGAAATTGGAAGTTTATTTTTTCATAGAATATAACATGCTTGACAGTATTTCTATCCAAAAAAAAAATAACAATCAAAAGAAAGAAGACAGTGTTTCCTTCCAAAATATTGAAATGATATTAATAGATGTATAGAAGTTTAGAACTTGTATATATTCCTAATGAATAATTGAACATTTAATCATTTTTAATAATTCTCCTTAGATATACAGATGAAGAGGTTTTAATTATGTTTTATTTTTTAAAAAATTTAACTTATTAACTTTTAAAATTTTTGTTTGCCTGGTATGAATTTTCCCTCCCTGCTCCAAACCTCAGATGTCTTTATAATTTTAAATATGTCTTCTGTAAATAGACTATATTTGTAACCCTTTAAGAATCTAACCTGAAAATATTCTTTTTATTCTTTTTATTTTTTTTCTGGGTTGTTTAGTTTTGAATTGCTTGATTTTTATTTTTGGAAAATTATAAACATTCACAAAAGTGGACAAGACAGTATCCAAATGCCCCTGAATCCATGACCTGGTTTTATCAATCACCAGCTCATAGCCAGTCTTGTTTCCACAATGTCCCAACCACTTCTCCTTTCCCCTTGCAGATTAATTTGAATCCGGTATCATATAATGTAATAAATATTTCAGCTTGTATCTTTAAAAAGAGGGACACACAAAAGTAACCATGAATCATTTATACATCTAAAAAATTAGCAATTGTTTAATATCATCTAGTTAGTATTCAAGTCTCCTTACTTGTCTCATAATATTTTTAGTTTCTGGGAATGAATCAGGATTCAAATAAGATCCATACGTTGTGACTGATTGCTGAATTTCTCGACACAATGATCTTTTTTAAAAATTTTATTTGTTGAAATACTATAATTTCCCAGATGTTGGTGTTTTTTGGTGATAATCCTGGATGTCATGTAATGAATTCTTCTACTTCCCCTATTTCCTGTAAATTGGCAGTCCAACCTATGAGCTAATTTGTTATTTTAGTGACAACTAACATATTTGTGTTTTTTGCCACCATATTTTTCCGATTTTTCATGCTCCTTAATTTTCTCCTCCTTTCTTGAGGTCTTTCATGTGATTTTTTTCCATATACTGTTTTATTCTTCTCTTCTGTATTATGCAATAAAAATTGCATAATCTACTTCTAATTTTTTTCATGGTTACACTTGAAATACTGACTCTTAAATAAACAAAGCAGTGGTGCATATAGGTAATGGCGGTGGCAGTTGTCTGCCTTGGGTACGGGCAGTAAGTGGGGAGAACTCTCTGTAGAGAATTTTAAAACTATAATAAAACTGATTAAAAGTCTGTTGCATCTCATTATCATCATGCTGCAGCAATTTAAACAATGCTGGTGATGAAATCCGCCTCCTTACCAGATGGACTGCCATCCTGCTCCCTGCTTAGTGTGTTGCCCTAGCAGTGTCTAATCAATAATTCCTGCCCGCCTCCAGAACAGCACAAAAATCCTTAGTTTTGAATATCTTCTACTGATAGATACTATTGTTGTCCAGTACTTCAGGCATCTTTTTAAAAACCCCTCAAGATATAAAATATAAGTATTACTCTTTTTTATTTTTAAAGATATTTATTTATTTATTTATTTTACAGAGGGTGGGGAGGGGCAGAGGGAAAGGGAGAGACCATGAATCTTAAGCAGACTTCCCGCTGAGTGTGGAGCCCGACAGGGGGCTCCATCCCAGGACCCTGAGATCATGACTTGAGCTTAAATCAAGAGTTGGATGCTCAAATGACTGATCCACCTGATGCCCCTAAGTATTACTCTCTAAATGATTAGTGTTTGTTTAGGTTTACTCACATGTTTAGTTCTTTTTTTCAACATTCCTTCTTTTGGGAATACCTTCCTTTTGGGATAATTTTCCTTCTTCCTCAAGTGCATCCTTTAGAAATTGCTTTTGTAAAGTTTTGTTTGTGATAACACACTCATTCTATTTCCATTTGTCTGAAAATGTCCTTTTTACTCTCATTTTTATTTTATTTTTAAAGATTTTATTTATTTATTTATTTGACATAGTGAGAGAGAGCACAAGCAGGAAGAGCAGCAGAGGGTGAAGCAGGCTCCCTGCCGAGCAAGGAGCCCAATGCGGGACTCGATCCCAGGACTCTGGGATCATGACCTGAGCTGAAGGCAGACGCTTAACCGACTGAGCCACCCAGGTGTCCCATTTACTCTCATTTTTAAAACATAGTTTCTTTTTGTCTATAATTCTAGGCTGGCCATTATTCTCTGCAACACTTGAAGCCATTGTTTTGCTGGCTTCTACTCTGAGCTACTGACATGTCCATTGTCAATGATCTGTAGCTGATGTTCTGTTTCTCTAATTTTAAGATTTCTTTTTCTTTGGTTTTCTGCATTTAACCACAGTGTGTTTAGATATGAATTTCTTTTTACTTACTTTTTTTGAGATTTTTGGAGCTTCTTTCTTAATTTTGAGAATACATGCTCTTGATTACTTCTGGAAAATTCTCGGTGAATATTTCTTTATTGGCCTCTCTTTACTACCTTATTATCTCCTCAAGGAACTCCAACTAGATATTTGTTAAACTTTCTCACTTTCATCTCCACATCTGTTAATTTTTCCACTTCTCTCTCTTTCTGTGCTGCATTCTTGGTGATTTCTTCCCATTCAGTAATTTTTCCTATATATGTATCTAACTTGCTCTTAGCATATTTAAGTTTCTAATTCTCATGGGTCCTGTTTTTCCCAAATACTCACATCATTCATGAGGTATTTTGTTCCATTCTCATGTTATTATTTTCCTTTGTATACAAACCTGTCAAACATCTTTATCTTCTAATGCTGGTAATTCCTCTGTTTCAAATCTTTGTCGGTCTGATTCTGCTATTAATTTTTTCAGTTGGCTTGCTCATGGTACTTTATATCCATGCATGATTTTGGACTTTTTAAAAAAATCATAAGCTCATATTTGGTGGCATTTTATATATGGCAATTTTTAAAATTTCTGTATTGAGGGACAGTCTTCCAGAGAGCATTTGTTTTCATAGATACAGGTGCCTGGGAGCCATTACCAACCAGGGCCATTTTAAACTAAATACTCAGCTTTAGAAAAAAAATATTTGGCTTATAAAAACTGGGCCCTAGAATTATGTGAGTGCTGGCTTATGAAAGCAAATTTCCAGAGTAAATTCCTCTGATACCACCCAGATTCATCTTCTTTGTTGGAGTTTCCCCCATAATTTCATGGTTTGTTTCTGTTTCATCACTCACTGAGGTTGTAGCCTTTGGGGTTGCCACTAAAACCAAAATTCCAGGTCATTGGGCGAATCAGCAGATGCTCAAGCTCATGATAGATTCAGTGTTTCCTTATCTATCTGGTTTCCTGTTCCTGCTTTGACCTCTGCAGTGTTCTTATTTCTTACCAATTCAGCCATTTATTAAAAAAAAAACTTACATTTATATCCAGGAGTTTTAGATGTTTTGAAGTATAAAGGATTTTTTCTGATATCCAGCTTATTGTTGCTTTAATGGAAATAAGCCTTTCTTATTTTAGTATTTTTTAAGTCTGTAGCTTTTAATGGAAGTAAGTCTTTCTTAATCTAATATTTTTAAAAACCCTTGTTGACTTTAAACTTCAAACAACATGCACCGCCCTTCTTCCCCTTCTTCAAACGCAATTGCTCAACCCCATTCCTCTGAAGGTACTTGCCTTCAGACCATTTCCACTAGAATAGAAAAGTAAGAAAACAAGACAAAATCTGAAGATCAGGACCCAAACTCATTGAAAATCTGTATAGGTAGTTATTTTGTTTGATAATGAAAATCTGGCCTCACCTTCAGCTACTCTTTGAGTTAGGATTCCAAGATGGTTTATGAAATAGAGAAACCTAAATCCGACAGACCACACATCTCACATGTTTTGAGTTAATGGATGTGACCTGAAAACACTCATCTGAGCTATCTGGACTGGCAAATATTCCATGCTTTAAACACATCTGAAAAATTTCAGATTTGATGTATGGGAGGCTGCCACAAATCTGAAGGGATCGCCATTTCATGCACTCAAAATAATAGCATCGCTGTTCTACTTTTTGCGAGATAATCTTTCTGTTTAGAGTGCTCCTTCCCTTATTAAGCCCTTTGGGGTTAAAACTAAAACTCCATTTTCATGATTCTAATTTTTATTTAATTTAGGGCACCAAAAGTACCAGTTATCCTAGCTAGATGATCTAATGGAGTGTGTAACCAGGGGTCCATCTGGTCCCCGAGTGGCTGAAGGCAGTCGCTTCCTGCCAAGAGAGCTGGGGAGGATCATTTTGCATTTCACCATGAGGACACAAAAGATAGAACAGAGCAGCAGCTGTGGTTTCCATGACATCGAGGGGTCACTTTATACCAGTGGCCTTCCCCTTTTCTTTTTCATGTGTACTTCCCCACCTTGCTGGTGATGGGGTTCAGGACAAGCTACCCCCAAATATGACACTTTGGCATAGTGAATATTTTTTAACTGAAGGAATCTGAGACATGACAAATGCAGGAAGGACTTTCCGACCTTCCTTTGGAGCAGGTCATAAGACCCTAGTGTCTATACCTGGAGGAAAAGGGACATCCTTATCTCCAAAGATAAAGGGACACAGAGAGGAATCTGAATGAACAGACCGTGTGAAGTTTCCCCAATTTACTATTCTTAGCTCATATCCTTTTTGTCCTATCATATTGTTTTTTCACAACTTTCCACTCTTTATCAAATCCAGCATAAAAACACTCAGGCTCAACTATTTCTTTGGGTCTTCATTTCCTTATGAAGGTTCCTGTGTTACATAAAACTTAAATCAAATACATTTGTATGCTTTTGTTAATTTGTTTTTGTTACAGAGACCCAGCTGAGAGCCAAATATGGTGAGAAGAAACAATATTTTTCCTCCCCAACAGTATCAAGAGTTGCTTTTCATAGCTTAAGCCTCAAGACCATCCAGGGAGGAGGCGGGTGAAAGTAATGAGATTCATGAATGGGAGTTGAATGAATGTCAACTCCCTCAATCAATAAGAAATTGATGGTTACCAACGTGTTCCCCATTCCAAGGGGTATCTCTGCAAATTGAAGGGTGGAACCGGGTAGGGGGTGGGAGGGATGAGGGATATAGTAACAAGTAACCAACTTGTGAATAATTGGGTGTTTTTGTGTGAAACCTAAGAAAGAGATTATTTTTTATTTACTTATTTGAGAGAGAGTGAGTGGGAGAGCAAGCATACAGGGGGAAGAGTAGAGGGAGAGGGATATAATTTCCATCAAACTCCTTGCTGAGTGTAGAACATGATGCCGGGCTCGATCTCAAGACCCTGAGATCATGACCTGAGTGGAAACCAAGAGTTGGACACTTAACTGACTGAGCCACCCAGGTGCCCCACAAAAGGATTATTTTTTAAAAATTAACCTTTTGGAGTTGTGTGATTATTCACCCACTCCCTCTAAAAGTCCCTCATATTTACACCTATGAATTTCACCTATTTTTTTAAAAACAAAAATCCCCCAGAAAATTATTTTATATCATCAGTATACCACAGTATGGTCTTATGCCTTCAGTAAAGCTATACTTTAAAGTTACCGCTTCTTACATAACTAGCTAAATTACTCCTTAGTTTTTTCTAGATGAGGTAAAAAGATTCTTTTAGCTTTTCTCATGGGCCCTTTTCCCCTAGCCTTTCAGTAATATTCAGAGATATACGTGGAACCTCTTTTTAAGATATCTATGGTCCGTTTAAATTGAGAAATCTATAAAAAGTCTATGTTGTGATAACAGGCTGAGAAATAATGAGAAAATGGAGGAATTAGTTCAGGATGTCACAATGCAGATTTCTCTCCACTGAATCTCTATGTCTTATGAGAATGCGGACTTAGGTTGTAGTTTCTATTTTTTAGATTCCAATCTTTTAAAATGGCACTTGAAATTATATTAAGAAACTCATGGGATTTCGTAAGTGCATAATCAATGATAAATGGACATTTATGATTGAGACTTGGGAGTTATTCATCAATATACCTCTGTATTCTTGGCTTTCTGAAGTTTAATCCAAGCATATTTCATTAGATTCCTACCCAAAATCAAGTTTTAAGAAGTCTGCTTTTCAAACCCAGAAATCTGTAGTAACACTTTTTTTGTCTGGGGAATATTTTATAGAAATAGGGCTTGTCTTCCTTTATGCCTTTGGACTGTGTATTTTGTGCTTACCCTACTCTGGCACCTGGGTAAAATAGTCCTTTATTCAGGAGTTGAGTTTTACAGTATAACTTACATGAAAGAATCTCAATGAAAGTTGTTGTAGCATTGACGTTATTAGCAGAGATGATAAGAGAAGATAGGTAGAAATACAGAGAAAGATTTTACAGGAGTGCCCTGAATCTAGATTTCCCTTGGTTGAGAAGATAAAACCATTTGGAAGTCTTGACTTACCAGAGGAAACAAAGATGAAGTTTGACTTTTTCTGCCAAACTTAATTTTTACCCCCAGCTTTGGATGTCCATGTGAACTCCCCAGAAAGGTCAAAATGTATTGATTTTTTTCACAAAGCAGTCATTTAAATCAGGTTACACAAAGTAGTCGCAGAGACGAGGACAGACAGACTGACAGGCAATTTTCTTCTCAAGTTCTGGGTTGCCTCCTTCAGTTTTCAGTTCTAGGAATTCATTAATTTCAGATTAAGACTCAGTGGATTTGTGGAAAAATAAAGGAGATATCTGGAGGGGATTCATGTAGAAGTCCTTAGAAAAGATAAGTGTATCCTAACAATGTTGACTCATGTGAATAACTCTTGTTTCTTTCTATTAAGAAAAGAGAGCAATGCACCCTTGTATTGAGTACACTACAGGCTGGGAATGGTGCATTGTATAGGCGGGCATCTAATCTGTGGAAGACCTCATGAAGTAGGTATTATGTTTTCCATTTTACTGAAGAGAAAACAGACATTAAAAAAAATTACAGGGGGCGCCTGGGTGGCTCAGTCCTTAAGCGGCTGCCTTCGGCTCAGGTCATGGTCCCAGGGTCCTGGGATCGAGTCCCGCATCAGGGTCTGTGCTCAGTGGGGAGTCTGCTTCTCCCTCTCCCTCTGTGCTCTCTCATGCTCTCTCTCTCTCAAGTAATAAATAAAATCTTTAAAAAAATTACATCTCTGGGGGAAGGATGAGGAAGTGTGTGGCAGGTACAGATGAAATGAGATTGGCCATAAGATTGGGACATCATGACATTATTCTTTCTAATTTTAAAATGTATTTGAAATTTTCCCAAATTAAAAGTTCTTAAGAAATCATTAATAAACATCAAGATTAATATTCATACTTTGTTGATTTCAGGCTTGTACTCCCTTGATCACATCACATACCTAATGATTTCTAAAAAGCTAGGGAGCAAATTTCAAGCTGGATGATAAACCAGGAATTTAAATTTTATTTTAGAAAGTAACAATTGATCTCTTTATGTTCTCAAAAAGAATTGAGAGCAATTCTACAGTAATCTTAGTTTTAATATTTATTCAATGAAGATATCTTTCCTTCTACTGAACTTTGAGATTTGATAGATTTGAGTTTGAGATTAAATAGATTTCTTAAATGTCCCGGTGTTACTCATTCAATTGTGTTACCGGAAATGATTTCTTTTTCTCTACTTGTTTTTAAAGAAGACATTTCAATATTCTAAACATTTGCGTTAGATATGTGTAGAGACATGTAAGATCAACCATTTTGTCCATGAGACTGAGTAGGCTTATGAAATCTGTTAACTAAGCATTCATAAGATTGAACTTTAGCCAGGGCAAGAAAAACCTTTAGCTGTGGGTAATGAGAACCACTTAAACTGGAATGACTTTATGGGTCTATAATGCTTTCATTCTTTCACCTGCTTAATGAAAAGGTCACCTGTTTAATGTAAAAGTTTCCTAAGAAATAGAATGTACCTTAACTACATCATATTTATATCTCTCAGTACAAAATTATTCCATTGAAGACACCATGCTAAATGAAAACAAGCCAGAAACAAAAGGCTATCGCTCTATGATTCCATTTATATGACTTCTTAAAGCGATAGGGATAGAAAACCCATCAGGGTGTTGCTGCAGGTAGCGTAGGGAGAGGAAGCTGACGGCAAAGGAGCACGGGCATTGTCTGGGTGAAGGTGGTGGTGGCTACACAGCTGTGTGTTTGCCCAAATTAATAGAACTGTATATAAATTTATTTATATGTCAATTTATTGTATGAAAAATATATCTCAGTAAGTCCACTTACTATGTATAAATAATGTAAATGTGCGTGTGCACGTGCGCGTGGTTTGCAGAGTGTGCCTCTGTGTCAGGGAGGGCACAGAAGCGTGCACTTACCTGGACGCTGACCGGAAGCCCCAGTCCCTGTGTGCCAACCACAGCTACCGTCATGCCAGTCTGGATCGCCAGGGCAATGAAGGTGTTGATTCCGAACACCAGGGCATAGCGTTCCACGCTGAGATTAACAGCAATCTGAAATCTAACAGTGTACAATGGAAAGAGTTTTGAAAGCACCCATATGTGGGCTTTTATTTTATTTTATTTTTTAAGATTTTTTATTTATTCATTTGGGAGACAGAGGAAGCAGAGAGAGAGAGCATACGAGAGGGGGTGGGGAGAGGCAGAGCTAGAGAGAGAAGCCGACTCCCTGCTGAGCAGGGAACCCGATGCACGGCTTGATCCCAGGACCCTGGGATCATGACCTGAGCGGAAGGCAGCTGCTTAACGACTGAGCCACCCAGGCGCCCCCGTAGGTAGAGCAGGGAATTGTGCTGTTCCCAAGATTTGGCTCCCCTCAGGCAGCTCAAGCTTCTGTTGACAAGTTTCTTGCTAAAAACCTCTTCTAGCAGAGAAAAAGGAAGGAAGGGTAGATGGAATAGTGAAGTGTTATATTTTAACATTCCATGCGATGTGATATATTATAAGAATTTTAAAAATAATTAACCTTCTCTAAAATTAAGCCAAATATTCCAAATGTTCTGCAACCAGGTAACACTGAACATTATTGGATGTGGATATGGTTTAGCAGTCACTTTTTTTTTTTTAAAGATTTTATCTATTTGAGAGAGAGAGAGAGAATGAGAGATAGCACGAGAGGGAAGAGGGTCAGAGGGAGAAGCAGACTCCCCGCTGAGCAGGGAGCCCGATGTGGGACTCGATCCTGGGACTCCAGGATCATGACCTGAGCCAAAGGCAGTCGTTCAACCAACTGAGCCACCCAGGCGCCCCTAGCAGTCACTTTTTAACCTAGACATATCAATGAGTAAATCACGAGTCAATTTGATGAGTTTTTACTTATTTGGAGGCTCTTCACTGGATCATTGACTGTCTACATTAGCAGTTTCAGAGTCGAATAGGTGAATTTTTTCTGTGGGAAACTCACAAATTATTTGCCTTCACAATTTGTTCAATATGGCCATTAGTTCATTTAATTTAGTCAGGCAAGACTGACATATATGCATTCAAATTCTTCCATGTAATTTAGCTAAGACATTTATAAGCTGATTTTATTTAAAAATATGAAAATAGGGCACCTGGGTGGCTCAGTCAGTTAAGTGTCTGTCTTCGGCTCAGGTCATGATCCCGGGATCGAGTGCCACATTGGGCTCCCTGCTCAGCAGGGAGTCTGCTTTTCCCTCTGACCCTACCCCCTCTTATGCTCTCTCTCTCTCAAATAAATAAATAAAATATTTAAAAAAATATGAAAACAAATGGAAAGTTTTAACTATTTTTACATCACCTCCCTAAATCCTCACACTAAAAGACAAATACAAGCATTTTAAAATTATGTGATTCAATGAAAATGTATTATTTCAGTGAAAAAATTACCAACATAACAAAACCCATAAATTACTCTAGATCCCACAAAGCGAATATAACACATGGTCCAAATGGGCCTTATAATTTCAGGAGTTTCTTGCTCAGCTAACAATTTTTCCTTTGAAAAAAAAAATGCTATACTAGATAGATGCTCTTGAAATATAGATTAATTAAATCAAATGGCAGATTCCCTTTTAGTATGACAATTATTCCAGGTTGGAATCTTGATTTAATCTGTACAGATGCTTAAACAGAGTACCAATGATTACTTGGTTTTGGATAGACCTTTATATGTGGTGGATTCAGACAGAGGCATAATGCTGACATCCAGCAGAGTGTGGTTTTGAATCCTAAGATTTTTCAGTCTAAACCCAAAAATTATTGTCCCAGGCAACTGAAATGACAAGGAATCATACTGTCTAAAATCTTATTTCAAAGCTCCTACGGGGTCATTTCTACGTAGGCATAAAACTACCATGCAGAGCACAGTGCACAGGGCTAATAAGTTCTTGGGAAGAGAATTATATTCATGTTCTGTTAGGCATTTAGCACTAAATACAGATGAGCTTCTGAGATAGTCTGTAATTTGAAGACAGAACCACTTTGAAATTTTTCTTTGATCGTTTATGTTCCATACATTATGGCATTACGGGATTGGCATTTACCAATTTACCCTATAACTTAAAGGAAAGTCATAGGAACAATTTATGAAGGCATTAAAAAAACACATTACTTTGTGCGCATATAAAAATAGAATGGTTAAATTAAAAAAAATTCAATAGCCCAAAGTTTTTTTTAATGTTATATTATTGTATTTGTTCATTGCTTTTTTTTTTTAAATTGTATTTATTTATTTGAGAGAGAGCGAGCACAAGCAGAGGAAGGGGCCGAAGGAGAGGGAGAGGGAGAAGCAGACTCTCCAATGAGCAGGGAGCCTGACATGGGACTTGATCCCAGGACCCCAAGATCATGACCTGAGCTGAAAGCAGATGCTTAACAGACTGAGCCACCCAGGTACCCCTTGCTTCATGTTGTTGTTGTTTTCCAGAAATGCTAACCAAGTGTTTATCATGAAACAAGGACGTCATCGGCATACCAATGAACAAGCATGATTTTACCCTCACAGAACTTACATTCCAACAGGGAATACTTAACTGGACCCAGGTAACTGCTTTGACTAACATTAATTAAATTTATCAGTTTTATCATGAAAAAGAAATATGAAGTAAATATCTCCTTTTGTAGAATAATCAGATTTTTTTACATGAACTTCTTGTATCACATGATGGTTGAAACCATGGATGGTCAATCATCTTGGAATTTCTTCCAAATCTGAACTCTAACCCTTTGCATTAGAAATACATTTATCCTACATGGGCTAAATTTATTTTAAAATTTTCTTAGAAGTTAGAGTATTAAAAAGATGTGAGTTAAGTTACAGAGACAGGATTCACCTACAGAGAAAATGATATTCTATCAGTATTCTGAAGTTGGACATGTGGGTGATAATTTCATTTAGCACCAAATTTGACAGATCTATGAGGTCAAGTTCTCTTTTTTCCCCACTGTGAGTCTGTATCCTGACACTAAGATACTATTTGTTGAGTCCTGCCCAGTAATTAGATATTTTAAATAATGTAACCAAAGTTAATTATGCCTAAAATAAGACTTCTTTTCACTAAACTTATCAATCACTTGACTGAATTGACAAGTTAGATGAAAGACGATTGTTGGGCTTTATGTAGAACGCTCTGAACATACTGTCTGGGAAAACCCTGACAGTCATGAGATGAGTTCCATCTTCATAGCCTCTCAGAATCTCAGCATTCTTACTATTCTCGTGGCTTAACCCTCTACTTCTTCATGTCTATAATAAATCATTCTGAGAATTTCTCAATACACCAAAACATTTTGGTTGTTTGTTTTTGCCTAAACCATCTCATATTCTGACAGTTAATCTTATTATTTTTTTTAAATTTTCCTATTTGTTTCTTTAGTAGAGCAATATTGACTCACTTCACAGTATGCAATAGATACGCAGATGGCTGTGAACCAATCTGTTCTGAAATATTCAAGAATAATCTACTTTTACTTTTTCACTATGTGGAAGCTGTGGTCAGGAACAGTACAAATAACCCTGAAAAATTATTTTTACTAATTTTCAGGTTCTCCATCTTCCTAAATCTAGCCATTAAGCATTAAACCAAACTAATTTAGATTTGACTTAAGTTCCTTTTACTAATCAAGAGTTAGATTGCTGAGAGAAAACAAAACATTTCGAATAATTTCTAAAATAAAAGTGAGGGAAGATAGAGATCTCCTTGTTAGGATGTTGAAGGTCACAAAAGACCGAAATAATAATAAGAAAATAACAGGGTAAGCAAAAAATCATACTATTCCATAAAGAAAACATAAGTATAGTAAAACTGCTGAAAATCAAATAAAAACAGAGAAAGAAAATCTTAGAAGCAGCCAAAAGCAAAATTATCATCACATTTAGGGGAACAACAATGAGAATGACAACAAACTCCTTAATGCAAGCTGGAAGACAATGGAATCCTTAAAGTGCTGAATGGGGAAAAAAAACCCAATAAACTTAGAATTCTAATCAGCAAAAATATGCTTAAAAATGATGTAAAATGTATTTTCAAGTAAATAAAATTTGAGAGAAATTGTCACCAGGTGGTTTGTACTACAAGTAATTTTAAAAGAAATTTTCAGGCTGAGGGGAATCAACAGCAGATGGAAACTTGGATCTACAGAAAGAAATGAAAAGGATTGGGAATGGCAAATCTATGAGTAAATATAAAAGATTATTTTTTTGGTCTTAATTTAAAAAAGATAATTTTCTATTTAAAGCAAATAGAATAATAATGTATTTGTAGGGTTTATAACAGCAACTGAAGTAAAATCTATAAAACAGTACAAGGGACAGGGAGTAAATGGAATTATGTTGCTGTAAAGTATTTATACACAAAGTGGTATAATATTAATTTAAGGAAAACTGATGAGTTAAAAATCTAATCCCACTAAAAACATAGAGACTTAGCCAAGAAAAACAAATAGAGGAAACAAAAATGGAATTAAAAAGAAAGCTCAATTAACTTCAAAAGAGGAATAAAGGCAAATGAACAGGTGGAACAAATAGTAAACAAATAACAAACTGGTAGACTTAAACCCAACTGAAGTTACATGGAGTTCATGGGAGCCTTTTGAATGTGCAATTTAATGTTTTAAGTGAATGTTTGGCATTTTTTGGATATATAAATTAATGCTTTTGATAAAATTTGGGAACTTTTTGGCCAGTATCTTTTTACGTGTTTTTTCTTTTTCTTTATGTTCTCTTCTTCTGGGACTCCATGATGCATATATTGATACACTCTATGGTGTTCTATAGATCTCTAAGAAAAGTTTAAGGCCAAAGAGCATATCCAAGATTATGCAGCCGATAATGTTAGGTCAAGGAAAATATTTTCAGATGTTTGCTTTATCTCTGATCAACTACCTAATTAAAATTAAACATATTGCCACACAGGATATGATGAGCAACCTAATTCTTTTTTAGGTATTCTCTAGGCAACATTCATCACTTCCTTAGGTCATTTTCTTTCCATTCTAATTAAAAGAGATCATATATTCCCCATGTTTAAACTACTGTATGATTTAACGTTTCTTGTTTTTATATGTAGTTTTATAAAACAGCTTCAGTTCTACAACTGCTCTGAGACTATTTGATAAGCTGTTTCAAAAAGAAACAGGTGTTTTATGATTAGAACAGGTAGAGGATGAAAACTAAGAGGAGTCAAAATTAGATACAATCACATCTTATTTTGTTGCTAAATAAAACAAAATCAAAGTGGAGAAATTGGAAAAACAGTACACTGTTGGTGGAAATACAAAATGGTACAGCCACTATGGAAAACAGTACGAGGGTTCCTCAACAAATTAAAAATAGAGCTACCATACAATCCAGAAATTCCCACTTCTGAGTATTTATCCCAAATAATTGAAATGAGGACCTAGAAGAAATATGAGCACACCCATGTTCATTATATTGCTATGCACAGTAGCCAAGATGTGAAAACAACTTAAATGTCTGTAGATGGGTTAATGAATAAAGAAAATGTGGTATATACACACAATTGACTATTATTTAGCCTTTAAAAAGAAGGAATCCTGCAATATGGGACAACATGGATGAATCTTGGGAACACTATGCTACATGAAATGTGTCAGTCATAGAAGGACAAATGTTGCATAATTCCATTTATTTGAGTTGTCTAAAATAATCAAATTCATAGAAGCAAAGAATAGAATGGTAGTTTCCAGGGGCTGTGTGGAGGGAAAAATTAAGTTGCCTGCTGAACATGTAAAATACGTATCTTTCAGTTATGCAACATAAATAAGTTCTAGCAGTCTGATGTACAACATTGTGCCTATAGATAGCAATCCTGTAGTGTGTACTTTAAAGTCTGCTAAGAGGAGTAGATCTCATGTTAAATGTTTTTACCAAATAAGAAAAAGAGGACTATAAAAGAAGAAATCAATAAAATTATTCTGTTGAACAAATACAATATAAAAAACCATAAAAAATCAAAATCTCAAAGTGTATCAGCATTTATTAATTAGGAGAACTTCGAACTTTTTTTCCCTGATGAATAACCCTAATCAAGTCCCAGGAGAAAGTCCGTTAAAATAGGAATATGGTTGTTGTCTCTTATATTAAGCATTAAATATAACATTGCAAATGCTATTCAGAAGAACTGGAAGAATAAATAAAGAAATCTATTCTGTTGCTTGAGATTTAGATAAAGAAATGAAAAATACTTACGCTGCTATCGTTATGAGAAGCATGTAACTTGACTTGAATATCACGAAACCAGCATAGCACACCCAAATATTAGTCGTGTAATGCATGAGAAGTAGAGAACCTGCATCTGCTGCTGAGAACAGCGCCAGGGCCAGCTCTCCCAGGAGATCCCAGTTGACTTTCACACAACCTGCTGTGCAAGCTGCCAGAGCCCCTGGAAAGGAAGGAATCAATATATATGACGTCTTGTCATTCCACACATAACAAAGTAGGGTGCTGTTTTGTTAAAATTCACACTGGATAGGCCCTGAAACATTTCCAGGCTATGGTAAAAAATGTTGACTGATTGTGAACTTTGATCGAATGAAACCACTTGATCCAGCTCTGTGAAGTGTACATATCTTTTTCTCTGAAAGTTTGAAATAGATGAACTGAATTTGGGTTTCCATAAATCACAGACTGGAATGGCCCCAGAGAGGCCATTTTTTTTTTCTTTCTTCTTCCCTTTGCAGAAAATAAAATTCGGGTTCAGAAACCTGGTGTCAAACAAAAACAAATCCAGACTTTGATAGGGGGAGGCTTTATTTAGAAGAAAGACTGGCAATAGGGAGAACACTCTGATCGCCGAAATCTGCAAGCATCTTGAAATCAAACAGAAAAAGGGTTTTCTTTTATAGGGTAATCCTTCACTGTAGGGCAAGCGGACATAAGTGGGATCTTTGGAGAGGAAGCTGGACAAGGAAGGGGAAATGATCATGGAGACTGACAGGAAAGTGTCCCGCTGTGGTCAGTTTTCAGGAGAAGTTGATGGGGGCTGGGGCACATTCCACATTGTGTTGTGTTTACTCAGAGTTGGGGCAAGCAGAATGTAAGGGGTCTGTACTAAGGAGAGGAGCCTGACTCAAGTTCAGTCAAGACAAAGCAAAGCGTGAGGAATGGTCAGTTGTGAATACTTGGTGACCAAGTGAGGCACCAAGTTCTTCAAACTGAATGCCAGCCCTTGCTACTGTGTTCTTCTCTCTGCCATGTAATGAATGAATGTTCTACGAGGGATCCTCTCTCTCTGTTCTCATCTCTGTTTTCTCTACCTTCTCTATAACATTGATTTAAAAATTTCCTTAAATCCCTGAAGGATACCAACGTTCAAGAATTCTCTCTATACACCTCCCCCCCATTTGTTGGTTTAATCATCCCCTTCTTTATTTGTTGACTCATTCATTCACCTACTCACCCCATCAAACATTTTTGAGCTTCTCTATGGGAAAATATGGTGGTAAACTTTGGATCCTTGGTCTTGAAAATAATATAGCCTACTGGAGAAATCAGATATATCAATTTTTAGTTTTATTGGTGTGTGTGATAGGACTGTAGAAGTGCTGACCCTAACTCAAATTTAAACTAACCATAACCTAGTTGTTCTCACAAAGGTGTTTTCGCCCTTCAGGGGACAGATGGCAATATTTGAAGACAATTTTGGTTGTCATGACTTGGCAGGGGTGGTGGTGGTGCTGGTGGTGGTGGTGCTGGTGGTGGTACGCTAAGGGGATCTGGTGGGTTAAGACTGATGATGCTGTGGAACGTCTTACAAAGCACAGGACAGCCCCCCATGACAAAGAATTTCCCTGCCCAAAATGTCAATATTGCTGAGGATGAGAAACTTTGACCCAAGCCCTGCATGTAGTGACAAGACATATCCCCAGGACACATTCATGTTGTAACATGCATTATATGGACGTACTTATAATGTGTTCCTACATTGTGCTGTGAATGAAATAATCAATTGTCAGGTTTCTTGCTACCCTTAGCTTTCTTTCTGAAAGACATGTCTTAATTTACATGAGGCCTTAGGTCAGCAAACCAGTCCTACTTCACCTGGTTCTGCCTAAAAATTTGACACTAATTAGGGTCCTCGCAATCACAAAGAGACTAAAGAAAAATTGTGTTTCGTGGGCTTTTAAAGAATGAATTTTATGAACATTTTACCTTTTCTACACATGCCCTCAGTAAGGATACATTATCTGAAGAGAAGAGGATTGTTTTCTCCCTTTTCCCGAAGAGCAAGTCCTTAGAGAGGAAATAGTTTAAAGTAAACAAATCCCAGAACAGGTTTCTAGGAGTCAAAATGGAATTTTCAGAAAGGGAAGTGAGAAAAATATTACCTCAACAATGGACCCTGAAATGTTCAATAAATATGTGGGTGTGGAACACCCCAACTTCAAAAATAATATCTTCAAAGTCTTATTTGATGTGAAAGCTTTGTTATGTCAGGAAAAACCATGTATGTTGTTGGGCTAACTTCAAAGACAGTTCTGGGCTCTACCCTTCTGACTTTAAGAGCATTAACTCTGTGTCAGCCTACCTTCCCTCCTTCTCTTCACCTCACTCTCTTTGGAAAAGGATTTCAAACTTCACAAAATATGTTCTGGGAAAAAGGAAGAGTCCATGGACAAGAATCTAAGAACCCCCAAACCACAGTAGCTTCTCAGCCAGGAGGGAAGTTTTTCGAAAGTAGAAAGCCCAGGACCGGGTTGAGGGGGAATCCCGTAGCAGAAGCTGGAAACCCTCATTCTCCCAGAGACCTTCTCAAGGTCACTCAGAGTTGCTGCCTCTTTCCTGTTGCACAAAATGCAGTATCAGAAATCCATCTATAGGTAAGTAAGATTGAAGTAGACACTTACCAGTCAGCTCAAGGAGAAGCAATAAATACTCAGGAACCCACATATCCTATTGGAGGTCCTGCCTCTCCCACCATGTCACACCCTGCCTTTCTCCTTTCCTGGCGCTCTTTGTCTCGTTTGCTGCCATTTTCTCCACAATCAAGGATTGCTATTTGTTAAGAGCTACTGCAGGAGGACACGGTTCCTACCGGTTCTTACTAATGACAGATGAATGAAAGTATATTATATAGGAAAGGCCAGGGAGAAAATTATACAAGATAGTACAATAAGCTGGTGGTGGAGAAGAGATAGGTTGGAAGATTGTAAGAATCTTGTCTTGATTCACTATTATTCTAGCAAATATCTGGATATGGTAGGGAATGGGGAAGCTGAGTAGGGAGAATAATCTTAATCAGAAGACCACAAGCTTTGGCAAATCCCTGCATGTACAGTTAAGGAAAGATATAAATAAATTATTTAAGTTGTCTCAAGGGGAACCTTTGAAATGATAAAGTAGCTCCTAGAACAGTAGCTTTCAAACTTCTTTGACCATAGCCTGAAAAAAGAAATATATTTTATATGTCCACCAGTACATACATATGTGTATGTAAATAGAATTTTCACAAAACAAAAGCTGCTATGCTCCCTATTCTATTCTATTCTATTCTATTCTATTCTAAATTTTCTATTCTGTTCTTTGATTTAAAAATGCTGTCAGGGGCACCTGGGTGGCTCAGTCATTAAGTGTCTGCCTTCAGCTCAAGCGATGATCCCGGGGTCCTGGGATCAAGCCCCACATCAGGCTCCCTGCCCAGCGGGAAGCCTGCTTCTCCCTCTCCCACTCCCCCTGCTTGTGTTCCCTCTCTCGCTGTGTCTCTCTCTCTGCCAAATAAATAAATAAAATCTTAAAAAAAAATAAAAATGCTGGTCAGAAATCCACCACATTGATTTCAAGATCTGTAGTCTATAAAGGGTCAGAGAGTAAATATTTTAGGCTTGCAGACCACATAATCTTCCTTGTTTTTATTTGGTTGCTTGCCTGGATTTATTATTTTTACAACCCTTGTCATATATTATTTTTTCCCCTTACAACCCCTTAAAAATGTAAGAACAATTAGCTCTGGTGGGCCATGGGCCATCATTTGCCCACCTCTATTAATGGTTTGCAAACCATAGTTTAACAACTAGAGTTACAGAGCAGTTAGAGAGGAAAGTTGATTTGGTAGGTTAACCTTAAACCACTCAACTCTTTATGGACAAACCATTTTCGGCCAGTGGGACACAAATTTGCAGTCCCCGTTTTTAGGGGTGGATAAAAATTTATTTTCCATGGATTGCTTTGTCAATCATTCCTTATATTCATTGTCTCTTTTAGATTTGGGGTAAAAACTCTTTTCTTTTTCAGAGTATTTGGTATTCAGTATTGAAATCACTACAACCAATCTATCTAAGACTATGATTTGGAAGAATATATTTCTTGCACATTGAAAAGATAAAGTCTGGTATACTGACCTCCAAAGGTTGCAATAGCTTCTACTGCCCCATTATAGATTGTAGAATTCTGGGACGGTGCCTTGTAATCCCACAGGATTTGAACATAGTTCAAAACCTGGTTAAAACCTGCTGTGGAGAAGGCCCACCACAGGGACCAGTAGAAAAGTCGCTTTGAGGAGTAGCACTCCTTCAAATCTTGGAACCACTGTACAAAAACACTCAATGCTACATTTCGTGGCATCGGGCCGCTCGACGGACCACCATCCAGGTTCCCTGAAATGGTGGGTATTTCTGAAGTGGGTTTCTCTCCACCGCCTGCTGTGTTAACTTTGTAAGGTGCATCTGACGCCGCGTTTTTGTTTGGCGGCTTCCGTACTTCTTTGCCGGGTTTGGCATGAAAAAACATGCTCTTCTTAGGCATTGGTAGGAAAAGTGACAAAAGAAAGGCCACCGAGACGGAGACCAAGGATATGACGTTGAGGTAGAAGTACGAGAGGCTGGCCAGGGATACCAGGAGCTGGGCCAGCACCGAGGCCGCCGTGTAGGCCACCAGCGTGATGCTCCTGCAGTAGCTGCTCACTTTCTGGTAGTGCTCGGGGCTGACTACGCTGTAAATGTAGGCATAGTAGGCCACCTCGGTGGCGGAGACCATGCCATAGAAGAACTCCAGCACCTGCATGGCCTTCACTCCCTGGCCAAATACAAGCAGCAGCCAGGTGATGATGAGGCTGATCCCTTGCAGGATGATGACTGGCTTGTAGCGGACATAATCGGTGAGGATGAACACGGGGAGAAGCAGCACCAGGTAAGAGTATGTCCAAATTGGAAAGATCTCATTGGTGATCTGTGAGGTTAAATGGGGAGGGTGTGAGGACAAAAGTACCAGAAGTGCAACACACCATAGATCTCTGACATATATATTATTCAGATGACATGTATCCATCCTAGGACATTGCTTGGCCCACGTCAATTGGATACTTCACACGAGTTTCTGACAATACAATGGAAAGCCATGGGAAACTGATATTCAAGGAAACAAAGTGCCAAAATCATGGATATTCATAACATGTGGGCTCCCTCCTCCAAGTATAAAGAAAGAGCAGTTATTGTTCTTAGTTATCTGCTTCTTACATTTTTATTTTTTTAAAAGATTGTTTATTTATTCATTTGTCAGAGAGAGAGAGAGAGAGAGCACAAACAGAGGGAGAAGCAGGCTCCCCGCTGAGCAAGGAGCCCGATGCGGGACTCGATCCCAGGACCCCGGGATCATGACCTGAGCCGAAGGCAGACGCTTAACTGACTGAGCCACCCAGGCATCCCTGCTTCTTACATTTTTAAAATGGAATATCATCTGCATAAGGCACTGAGGCTGGGAAAAGAGGCCGTAATGCATATGTTAGGCTTCTCAGCTTCCCCAGGGCAGTGTAGGGCTGCTCACATGCTGTTGCCTGTTCTTTTAAAATAGTTGACTCTTCTTCAATAAGGTTAAAAAGAATGTTTCAGTACTGGCAGAACCTGACCATATTTACCTTTGATCCACATCAGTATGTAAAATGTAGAGACCATCAAGAGATCATCTGAGTGATCAGGAACACATAGGACAAACGACCAGTTCAAGACCAAATATCAGAAGAAGGAATGCTAGTCTGTCTTCTGTTTTTCTGCATTCTTGGCCTTACTTTCTTGGGCTGCTTTGGAAGAGCCATGAGAAACCACTTAGTATCTCTCTTGTTTAAGTCAGCTTTGGCCACGGTTTTCCAGAAAACACTGGTGGTATCAGCAAATCATCTGAACCCATCAACAGTACATAATTATTTTAGCTTCTGTAAGCGGAATCTACTGTGGGTAGAAGATGATGTAAAGAAGGTTGGGGTAGAACCTCTTAAATCCCTCTCAAATCCCAGAGTCTCAGATCACTGACATAAACCCGCCAACTTACTGAGCCCAAGAGTGTGTTTTGACCTAATCTGTGCCTGACTCCTTGAGTTCTCAGGTCACCTTTTACCTACGTATTCTTACAGTTTGGTAGAACTTCATTCTGGCTCTTCCCGACATTACATGTAGTCACTAACCTGGGAAAAGCTATGTTCCAGATCTGTTTTTTGTGACTGTCTCTGGACTCTAAATCCAGTCCATGGCTATCTCTCAGCCAAACCTGTTTGCTCCTACCAGCATTCAAGATTGGCATGTGCCTTTTTTATTGGGAGGGAAAATGGTGGATTGGTTTAGAGGGAAGAGTTTCCTTGGTGTCCGGTAGGGACATGAGGATGTTTTCTGGGAGAGGGAGACCAAGGGAGATACAATTGTTATGCCCCATTTGCTGAATAACCAGCCCGTAAAATGGGTGTGACATTTTTTTCCTAAGGAAATTGAATCGATACAGTGCTTTGTCTGATCTTGTTATTGTTCAGTGACTAAAGTGGCGGGTCTCAAATTTTAACATGTAGCCAATTCACCTGGAGGGTTTGTTAAAAACCAGACATTGAGACTCAGTAGATCTGGGGCAGGGCCTGAAAATGTACATTTCTAACAAGTTCCCAGGTGATGCTCTTGCACTGGTCCACGGACCACACTTTGAGAACCACTGACTCATCAGCTCCTTAGGATTATTTCCTATGACCTGACTAAAAGCTACCAATGGTCTTAATGTTTATACATAAAGAGGAAGAAAATCTTCAGAGGATTTTTTCATATGCCTTTTCCTAACATTTCCCCTCCAAATCTTATACTATCCTCTAAGGTTTGTGCTTATATCTAGGTATGGCTTTATCTTAGGTTCATGATAATAAGCAATGACATCAGGGAGTATTGTTTTTGTACAGCTGAAAGGTTGTTTTGAACTCACCCCATATGTGTGGTAGGAAAGAGTTTTATATTTTTACATGACAAAGGCGCAGAAATCATTAGGGACCATTTGTTCACATTTGAGATGGTAAGAAGTGCGCACACTTAGCTCCTACCCAAGGCTTTAGACATTGGTTCTAACAAGACAAATCTAAGATAAGCATGTTAGTAAACTTACCATGCTGAGGCTTATATTTTTATCTGGTCCTGCCAAATAAGGTACGACAAATGGCTCTGATGGTTTCATCATTGAGAAAAATCCAAAGCAGCAGAGGTTTACTGTGGGAAAAACCCAGGAAGGGTTTGGTGATGTACGGCAACAATTCATGGATGGTTAGACTGTTGGAGAAAAAAGAAAAAAAAAGCAAGTCAGAAGATTGATGGTTTCTTTTCATCAAACTTGTGTGCTCTTCCCCAGGCTCCATTTGTCCTTGGGTCTTAAAAAATGACAAAAAGAAAATTGTTGTGACAGTAAATACATATCGCAGGTCAAAACACAGGGACCCAAGTCTTGTCTTTGGGTTTTTTGGTTTAAAGAGAAAACTAATGGTTACTTGAAAACACTGCGGTAAGGGGGTTAAGTTTCATATCAGCTGGACTGGCGGGGTCACTGAGGAAAAAAGTACTCCCCAGTATGGCAAGCCAGTGGGCCATGCTCTCCTCTAATCTTTTCCAGTAGAAAGAAGTCAGGGAATTTCTCCTCAGGCAGAAATCTGGGCATAAGATAAGACTGGTAGAATTTTGATAAACGTAGTTGTTAAGCAAACATCTGCTTCCTGCCCCCCATCATGAGCTTATTACCCTGTGGTGGTTGATGAACTGGAAATCCATTTTAATGAGTGCTTAAATTGGTGAATAAAATAGCCTTTGGGGAGTGAAGATTTATAAAGCAGATAGACCCCTTCCTTTATCTAGGAATCAAACTCAAGGTGAACCTTGGTTTAGCATAAGAAGCCTCCAGTAATTTGAATTGTCACCCACCCAGGTGATTTGACTTGTTTCTGATACCAACCTTCAGAAGAATTACATGACATCTAGACAATATGGTATCATGGATGAAATTCAACAGGACTTAAAAGTATTTTTCTGAGTTGATACTTAGCTCTTGCTCTGTTCCTATTTTTCCCCACTTATGTTGCTAATACTGAAACGTGAGAACTTAAGTTCAGGAGGATAAGCCTTAAGGTTGGCTGACTGAGGGAAGACATGGGCAGCCCTTAGGAAAGCAATGGACTGCTCGGAGAGAATGTCACTCACTCAGTCATTGACCATTTCCTGCCTGAAGCTTCCCAACCCTTTCCAGCTTCTCTCCTGCCTTCTTCTATGCTTCCTCTCAGTTACAGCCCTGGCAAAGCAGTGTGGCACGACAGTAAAGGGCAGGGCTCTGGAGTCAAGAAGGTCCAAATTCTTGCTGCTCCTCACAAGCATGTAAACTTTGGCAAGTTACTGGACCTCTTTGGTACCTCAGATTTCTCATCTGTAAAATGGGAATGGTAAGACCTACCTCGTGTTGGAAAGATTACACACACTAGTACATGTTTGAACAATGCCAGTCAGTAAGCACACAATATGCATTCTGTAGAAGGCATGGCTTTGGAAGAAACTGAGGTATCGACATGCACATCTGCTTGTTAGCCTGGCAGCTCCACGGGGGCGGGGATTCATTTTTGTCACCGAATCTAGCACACAATCTTACGTATCAAAGATCCCGTGGAGGGATGCCTGAGTGGCTCAGTCGGTTAAGTGGCTGCCTTCAGCTCAGGTCAGATCCCAGGGTACTGGGATCGAGTCCCACATGGGGCTCCTTGCTACGTGGGGAACCTGCTTCTCCCTCTCCTGCTCCCCCTGCTTGTGCTCTCTCTCTCTCCCCCTCTCTCTCTGACAAATAAATAAATAAAATCTCAAAGGTCTCCTGGAAATGTTTGTTCAAAGTACAGCCATTGGGCCAAACATGGTTTTCTAACTGACCAGAATAGTTCAAATAATAATAAGGAGATATTTCCCAAGTGTTCTAGTTCTCCGGAGTGGGAACCACAAACCACTGTTTGCGTCTCAAGAATATGGAGGTTACTCTTTTCTTCCTAAAGATTTATTTATTTATTTGAGAGAAGGGAGGGGCAGGGAGAGAATCCCAGGCAGAACTCCCCCCTCCTCCAACCCTGCTGAGTGCGGAGCCTGACGTGGGGCTCAATTCCAGGACCCTGAGACCATGACCTGAGCCAAAACCAAGAGTCGGCCACTTAACCGACTGAGCCACCCAGGCACCCCTGGAGGTTACCCCCAAAATAGCTTTGGAAAAACGAACCGAGGATTTCCTGGTGAGAACACGGCGTTTGCAGTTGAGCAAATTTAAATCTCGAATCCACCTTTTGAGTTGTGTGGTCCCTGGACAAGTTTCTTTCTTTTCTTTTTTTTTTTATTTAATTTAATTAACTTATTTTTAAATTTTATTATGTTACATTAGTCACCATACAATACATCATTAGTTTTTGATGTGGTGATCCACGATCCCTTGTTTTCGTATAACACCCAGTGCTCCATGCAATATGTGCCTTCCTTAATACCCATCACCGGGCTAACCAATCCCCCTCCCTCCTCCCCTCTAAAACCTTGTTTGTTTCTCAGAGTCCATAGTCTCTCATGGTTCATCTCTCCCTCCAATTCCCCCCCCCCGCCTTTTTCCCTTCCTTCTCCTAGCGTCCTCCATGCTATTCCTTATGTTCCACAAATAAATGAAACCATATGATAATTGACTTTCTCTACTTGACTTATTTCACTTAGCATAGTCTCCCTCAGTCCCATCCATATTGATGTAAAAGTTGGGTATTCATCCTTTCTGATGGCTGAGTAATAGTCCATTGTATATATGGACCACATCTTCTTTATCCATTTGTCTGTTGAAGGGCATCTCGGCTCCTTCTACAGTTTGGCTATTGTGGACATTGCTGCTATGAACATTGGGGTGCATATGGCCCTTCTTTTCACTACAGCTGTGTCTTTGGGGTAAATACCCAGAAGTGCAATTGCTGGGTCATAGGGTAGCTCTATTTTTAAATTTTTGAGGAACCTCCACACTGTTTTCCAAAGTGGCTGTACCAACCTGCATTCCCACCAACAGTGCAAGAGGGTTCCCCTTTCTCCACAACCTCTCCAACATTTGTTGTTTCTTTCCCTGTCCTGGACAAGTTTCTTAACGGGCTGAGGCCTCAGTTGTCCTCACCTGGGCAGGTGGGGAACTTCCATTCCACCCACCCCAGATGTTGGCAGCCAGTTCGTCAAAGGCTGTTGAACTCAAAATGAGTGAATTGGTTGGTCTGACTAGAATATAGAATCCGTTACCACCACAATGGGAAGATTCACATGACAAGTGATCATGCGGAGAAAGAGCTACAACAAATCCTCTTGAATGTGAAATCGGGACTACTCCTGTGAGGATGGGCTCCAAGTTGGCCCCCTGCTGGTATCCTCCCGTATTGCAAAGGGACAGTGTGTTTTCACTTTCTCTGCCTGCATTGCCCCTCTGAATTGAACGACTTTCCTTATGGCCTGTGGAAAACTAATGGCTCCCTGGGAAGAACTTTGAAAACACAAGGCATACACTATTCCCTGATATGTGGTCTCCACTGAGATTGAAGGGAGCGAAGAACCCAACATGATAGATGCAAACATTCCTTCCTTAGACCTCTTTTTCTAATTCTAAGGCATTTCCCCCCTTTTAAAATTAATGGTGGAGTTATAGCTTTAAAAAGAGACAAATACTGAATTTACAATCTCAGGTTACCCTAGGGGTGTGATTGTTAATAGTTCAAGCAGGTGATAATTCTTAGTTGATTTTTAACCTGTTGCTCCAAAGGTCATTGGAAATCAGTTAAAACGTTACCAAACAAATGCTCTGATTTGCTCTTAGTTATGTCAAAATGCAAATTTCTAGTCTTCCGGAGGAGGACGTTGGGTACATTGAACACAGTGGGCTTCTGGTGCAGGACACAGATCTATTCCAGGTGCTTCAGGTGGGGAGTTCTGCAGCTTCAGGGCCCTCGCTGTTTGAGGAGCAGGTGCACTGCCATGAGTGGGTGGGCACTTAATAAGTATCCCAGCTATTACCGTGATGTAGACCGTCTGATAGATGTTTTTTTCTGTTGTACTTAACATAGCTGGCTGAACTTACTCAAATTCCTTTGCCTCTCTGAGTCCCACTGATTAAAAGAAGGCAACAGTGATCTACTTTAGTATTTGTGAGGAGTAAATGAGGTCAACAGGAGAGGTCTCGGGGCACTGCCTAACACAATAAATACCAGTGTCTTTCCCTGGTCTCTCTTTGAGAATCTGGTCTAGTCCCAGTGACCCAGGAAATCACACCACCAATGAATCACTGATAAAGTAACAGCTCATAATGTTAGACTCAGCTAAGCTGAATTGTTGATCATCAGTACACAATGTGGGAATAATTTCAAAATTAATTTGAGAGAATAAGAAGACACAAAAAGAGTAAGTTTACAGTTTAAGATCGCATGGAAAACTATTTCTTTAAGGACTTAAATTGTCTGAAAGCCCTTTATAAATACTAATTACATGTGAGAGATCATAAATCATATTTATTTGCCTTTTAATCAGACCTTTATGGTCTGCCATAAAGGGAACAGTTGGTCAGTTTAGTTACGAAATACATGCTGTCCACACCTATACTTCTCTATTTAGATGTTTTACTAAATTCATTTAGATTCTTCTCTAAATTAGTGAACATTTACTGTACATACTTTTTAAAGAATTAAGAGAAAATGGTCTCTATATTCCAGCTCACCATGACTCAGTATTAAAAGTATGTTTTTTTTTTTTTAATCTAGATGACTTAAATCAGCTTTCCATGTCAACATTTTCCATCTGAACCTTGCTTTGCCCTTTCTAACTAGCTGTGTTGGTTAATACACACTGACCATGTAGCCTCCTCATTTTTAATGGTGATTAGACAGATTTCTTTCTATTTGACTTTCAGCGGTCACATCACTCCTTTTGCTATTTGGATGTTATCAAATAGGGAAATAGGGACTCATTTCAACGGCATGGTTCCCTTGCACCCAGGAAATCACAAGGATTAATGGATTGTTGATACCAATTTTGGTACTGGTGAGTATGTGGTGCTGTAACAAACACGTAAAAACATGGAAGTGGCTTAGGAACTGGAAAATGGGTAGAGGCTGGAAGAATTTTGAAGTACTTGATAGAAAAAAATTTAGAATGCCTTGAAGAGTTTGTTGGTAGAAATATTGCCGTTAAGTGCAATTCTGTTGAGGGCTCAGAAAGAAGAAATGAGTGCTACAGAGAAAGTGT